TCAGGTCCAGCGCTGCACACGGACGCCATTCAGCATTCGGAGAGATTTGTTCCATCAGACCACAGATCATGCAGACGCCAGAGGCTAAGCTACAAGTTTCTCTGCTGAATCAGGTTCCTTGCCAGGTCACATTCACATCAGGAGGTGCTGTGTGCTCACAGACATGAACATGGCAGGCTGTGCACCCCCAGAAGGTTGACACTGATGTATGAAATGCCAGCGGCACCCAACCTAGAAGCAGAACTGCATGATAGCTACTGTCTGCCTTGGGGAGGAGAAAGAGAAAGAACTCCTGCTCCGGAAGCCGAGGGGCATCAAGAGCGGAAGCCGACAGGGACAGAGTCCCAGGGGCTGCGGGCCCACTCCTTGTCACAATTTGATTCTTACGTTTTTCTGCTGACATCTACAAAAGTCATCAACACAACCCAAATCATGTTTGCCTCCATGTTTGGAGGCAAAACCAGGCCTCACAGATGGGGCTGGTGAGATGGCTCAGCTGGTAAAGGGGCTTGCCACTAAGCCTGACGGCCTGAGTTCAATGCCCAGAACCATATAGTGGGAAGAGAGAATCGACTCTTGCAAGTTGCCCTGTGATCTCTACACCCATGAGGTGGTACACATTGTAGAGCGAGCAAATCAGAGAGAGACAGAGAGAGACACAGACACCCAAAGATGCAGAGGCAGACAGGAGTGTGGAGATAACAAAAACATAAAAAGGACGGCCAATGGCTGAGGAATAAGGGTTGACCCCTGGTCTCCAGGCGCACGAGCATGTGCACACCTCACCCCAGGAATGGTCACGAGCCCACGGACTCCCAGATACACAAAGGAAAAGGCAACCTTGACAAGCCCGCATTGCCCTCAGAGTGTAGCTGACACTCACCCATCCAGAATCTCTTTCCGGCTTTTAACATATCACAGGAAGCTGCCTCCCAGGATCCTTTGCAGCACGATGGTCGTGAGATTGGACGGAGGCAAGCTAACACTGAAGCACAACTTTCTAGCCGTGTGCAGGAGAAGGGGCGCACCCTCTGTCCTTCTTAGAGTTGAGATAGTCACCCAGGCCCTGGTGTGGAAGATGCAGAACAGGAAGAAGGCAGACAGAGAGCCCCCAACCAGAGGTGAACTCCCTTCAACCAGCTTCTCCCAACAGGTGGCTTCTGGAAAGTGGAGCAGAATTCCCAGAGCCTGAGGGAAACCAGCGGCTAGTCAAAGGGCACTGACAACCGGTTAGCTACGAGATGAACAGGATCCAGTGTGGAAGGTGCCGCAGAACCAGGAAGGCTGACAGCTTTTGGTCACTGGTCACACAGGTGCTCGGGTTACCAGGCTGCCACTCTGGACACGCTAAACACGCACTCTCCGTTGAGTAGAGATTTTTTTTAAAAAAAAGTTTCTTTGGGATTGTTTTGTAACTGCTACCCAGACCTGTCACTCTAAGGACCTCATGGGGGCTAAAACAAATGCATCAGGGGCTGGTGAGATGGCTCAGCTAGGAAGGAGCTTGCAGCTAAGTTGATTTCAATCCCTGGAATCATGTGGTAGGAGGAATCAGCTCTTAAAGGTTGTCCTCAGACACAGAAAGACAGACGGACGTGGGGATATACTACTGTAAGTAGAGACAGACTGGGAAGCTCTGGGCAGGGACTGAAAGCAACTGTACGTAGGCTCAAGCACGCTCCCTGTGAATAAGAGCAGGGACTAGCTGGAGTGTGGATTGAGCCCTGCCTCAGGCACATGATAAAAGTGGGGCTGAAACCCCATGATTAAGACAAACCTTGTAACACAAACCTGTTAAAAACCAAAATTAGGGGCTGGAAAGATGGTGTCTTACTTAAGGTTTTATTGCTGTGAAGAGGCACCATGACCAAGGCAGCTCTTATAAAGAACAACATTTAACTGGGGCTGGCTTACAGGTTCAGAGGTTCAGTCCATTATCATCAAGGCTGGAGCATGGCAGCATCCAGGCAGGCAGGGCACTGGAGAAGGAGCTCAGATTCCACAGGTCAGACTTGAACAAATGTATGAGACTCCAAGCCCCTCCTCCATGTGACATTCTGCCTCTAACAAGGCCACATCTCCTAACAGTGCTACCCCCCCACCATGGGAGAAGCATATTCAAACTACCACAGGTGGCTTGGTTGGAAGTGACACTGTACAAGTCCAGGGACACAAGCTCTGTCCACAGAGCCTAAAGAAGCCAGGAGTATGGTGCTGGAAAGGACACCCAGTGGTCACCTGACAAAATCTTCCCATGTTCAGTTCTCTGCACCCATGTCAGGCTCACAATACCTGAGACCCCCATCCCCTAGAGACCTGATGCCACCTTCTGGCTGCCGTAGCCCTGCATTCAAGTTACATGTATCCTCTGTCTCATATACAAATGAGCTAAGTAAAAATGAAATCTTGATGGTGTGTGTACACATGTGACTATTTCTTAAGAGGAAGAGGAGGCAGGAGAATCAGGAGTTCAAGGTTGCCTTTGGCTACACAGGAAATTCAAGGTGGGGCTATCTAAGACAGTTTCTGGAAACCAAAAAGCCAAGAGTCACGGGGTTGGGGGTTGTGGGGAGCTGGGTCATGGGGGATCCTCTGGGCTTGATGGGCAGCCAGCTATAGCCTAAGCACTTCAATGAGAAACCTTGCCTCAAAAGCCTGGATATCCATCTGAGGAAAGGCACCCCTGGTAGATCTCTGGGGACACACACACACACACACACACTCAGGGCTTGGGCTGTGGCTCAGTTGGTAGATTGCTTGTAATACCAGCATTCAGGAGGCAGAGGCTGGGGGATGGTGAGTACAAGGTCTTCCTTGGCCACATAGTGAATTAGAGGTCAGCCTGGGGTGTGTGATATGTCAGAATGTCTAAAAAGAAAAAGAGGAGTGGGGGGAGGGGAGGGAGCAAGAGAGAAAGAAGAAAGCGAAAACATCCACCTGCAGCCAATGTTTTTTCTGGAGCTTGGGTCGCTGCCCCTGAACACCTTCACCTGATGTTAACCTCTCCAGGTTCCAGCCCTGAGAGGATACAGGAGTGCGGGCACCCAAGACAACCCGGAGCTGGAGCAGTGATGGCACCAAGAAAGAGTTGAGGCAGCTTCCTTCTTGTAGGTTGTCTATAGAGCAGCCAGAAACCCTGAGCAAAGGAGGGAGAGTTTGCTCACTACCAGCTCTGCCTTGGAAGACTTCGCAGCTGAGGCAAATAAGACAAAAGGAAGCCAGTCCTCCAGCATGAAGTCTGGACCCTTGCTGGCTGCTGCCATGGTGCAGGTCTTCCCTAGGTGCTTGACAAGTCTCCCATACCCTAGGCTAGCCTCAGGCTTACTATGTAATGATGACCTTGGTTAGATGGCAGGGAATTAGTTACCTGTTTCCATGACGACTAGATCATCCTTGGTCTTGCCCCCTTTGGTTGGTTTTGTAGAAAAGCTGCAGAGCTGGAGTTGGAGAGACAGCAGCGGTTCAGAGCACTTGGTGCTCTTGTAGAGGGCTTGGGTTTGTTCCCAGCACCCACATGGCAGCTCGCAAACATCCGTAGCTCCAGTTTTAGGGGATCCAATGCCTTCTGACCTCCATAGGCACCTGGAACACGTGATGCAGACATACGGACAGGCAAAACACTGCCTGTATACAAATAAAATGTACAAATCTGAAAAACGATTGCAGGCTGAGTGGTTGCAAGGGAGCCTTTGCAAGCCCTCACCGCCTGACCCGAACTTCCTGCTCCCTCTGTGCACCGGGAATCCAAATTTGCTAAGTGAACCAGATGTGGTGGCGCACACCTTTGATACCAGGATTTAGGGGGTAGGGGTGAGGGTGGGACTAGGGACTGGGGCGGCAGAGGCAGGTGGATCTGTGAGTTCAAGGCCAGCCTGGTCTATATAGTGAGGGGTATCCTTTGAGATCCTGTCTCAAAGAGAAAAGCAAAACCAAGCTTGCTTAGTGATATCAGGTTGAGTCTGAGGCCTTTGAAACTCACACAGCCATTAGTCCAAAAATGCTTTTGAAAAGGATGGCCTCATTCCCATTTGGTGGAAGGTGACTGTATATTTTCCTTCTATGATTTGCTACTTGAGAAGTCCACAACCTTCTGTTTCTAGAAATGCAGATGAGATTCCTGACAAAGGGTGAGAGGGAAACAGAATCTGCCTGGTGGCCTGGAGGCTCACACAACAGTCGCCTGGTGAGACGGTCAGGACACAGGAGACAGCGCTGAGGAGTTCCCTGAGGGAGTCTGGGTCTTCTGACCTTGTCAACTTGTTCCACACTGTGCCTCCTGCTGCAGAATGCATCACAATTACAGCCACCACCCTAGAACAAGCTACTTCAAGTTAGGCAGGGGCTCTACCACTGAGCCACGCCCCCAGCCCCTCACTGGGGGATTCTAGACAGGGGCTCCACCACTGAGCCACACCGTCAACCCATCTCAGTGATTCCTAAGTAAAATGTTCTTTAGTTTTACTGAAAATTCTCATCCTGTCCGCTTTCCCCAATTGCAAAAGCCCCACCACTGTAGCTAATGAGACATGGTTTTGAGACAAGTTGGTCTGGAACTCCCCATCTTCCTGACTTCACCTCCCAAGTGTAGGGATTACAGAAGCACACCACCATGCCCAACTCACACATTTATATTAAAGAAGGGCAGTGTGTTTGAAGAAAACAGGCCAGTGCAGAAAACAAAATTCTAGATGACTGACAGGCCGGTCTAGATGCTGGAGCTTCCAGGCTTTAGAGCGAGCAACAGATCTGACTGGAGGGTTAGGTTTTCAGTTTCACCAATTCTGGTAACTCGGTATGACTTGAAAGATACCAGTCGAGTGCCCTTTCACTCACTACACACCCCGGAGGCCCGCCCAGGATTCACTGGGCCCCAGACTTTTCTTTCTCAATTTGCATTTCAAATTCTGTACCCACCAGGAGGCTGAGTTAGGGCTAACTTGATCTTTGGCGCCACCATCAGTTCAAACTGCGTCTCCCTTCACTGGGAAATGACAATTATATCCCTCCAGAGAGACATTTGCTTTTTTATTGAAAAACAAAAAAACAAAAACAACAAAACCAGAGAAAAGAAACGACACAAATATATAAGGCTAATACTAGCAGTCACTACCCAGGTTAAGACAGGATTTTACTGCAAACCCTGACAGAGCACGGGCTCCTTTCTGCCCCCACACAGCTCAGTTCACATGCAGTGTGGTGGGCATGTCAGTTTAATAACTCCTCCAGAGACGAGTCAGTTTTCCAATCTCAACTCACATACAGTGATTTTCCCCATGGGGGTAGAGTTGTGCTTAGTGGTCCTCACTTTTGGATGGCCGAGGCCACAGCGTGCTCAGGGAATGCTTGCAGAGAGGGAACTGAGCTGTGGGCAAGCATCCCTATAGCCTTGTGTTGACACCGATGCCCTCGTGGGTTAGCCGCTCCGCTGCTGGAGGCTGGGGAGGACCGAGCTGCCAGCTCTGGAAGAGAAGGCAAGGTCCTCCCCCTATGGTGTCCCCGTGAAGGGCTGGCATCGGCCTTGCTCAGATTCCTGAGAGACTGCCCATGCTTCCTTCTTTAGAGGTCATGGCTGGGCTCCAGAGTGCTCTCTATCTGCCCCACAGAGACCAGGGGGCCAAGCTGTCCTGAAGCAACGCCTTCTGAGGGGAAAGTGACCAGGTTCGAGTTCCTGTTCTCGCCCCAGTCACTGTGCTGCTTCCGATGGCACCTCAGAGAGTCATCCCTGACAAAGGAAGCACCACACTTGTCACATCCGAAGGCCCTCTGGGTGACGATGTTGGCCACGTGGTGGGGGCCGCTCTCCCCAGGCCCATCCTTGCCCTGCGGGGCCCTGTTCTCTGTCTTGACGGCGCCTTCCCTGTGCACCTTGTCGATGTGTTTGGCCAGGCTGCTGGGCCGCTTTGTATCAAAGCTGCAGAAGTCACATTTGAAGGGCCGGTCCTTGCAGTGGACTCGGCTGTGTACGCGCAGGGCGGCTGGGCTGGAACAGGAGTAGCTACATTCGGGGCATTTCTCAGGATGGTCGGCCTGATGCAGACGACTGTGCTCTAGCAGGTCGGCCCGGTCCCGTCCCTGGAAGGCACAGTGCAGACACTTGAAGGTGTGCTTGATACGGATGTGGGACTTGAGGTTCGCCTTCATGGTGCAACGGACGTCACAGAACTCGCATTTGAAAGGCTTCTCTCCCGAGTGCACGATCATGTGCCGCTTCAAGTCCGAGCTGATTTTGAACTTGGCGCTACAGAGCCAGCACTGGAAGGGGGTGTCCCCTAGCAATGGAAGGTGTGATTATATTAGACTGGGCCGACAACAGAATTCTCCAGTAGACATGTACCACATACCTGGCCATGAGACAGATGGGTCTTTTGAACTTCCTGATAGGGACAACACTTACCATGTATAATCACTGTTAGCCCATTTTATAGATGGGGTAGCTGGTGCTCAGGGGGTTCAAGTGGTGGGGTCCACACTCCTGTACCACCCTCCACCCTGCAAGTCCACATTCAATGACATTTGAGTTCTAGAAATGCAGTAGATGTTGCATATGAGTTCTCCAAATAGGATTTAAAGACACCTGGCTGGTAAGATAACTCAGTGGTTAAAGCACTGGTTGGTCTGGCAGAGGACCCATGCTCAGTTCCCAGAAGCCACGTGGAAACTCGCAACCACCTTTAACTCCAGTTGCAGAGAAACTGATGCCCCCTTCTGGCCTCCACTGGTACTGCACACTGTTGTGGTGAACAGACGAATATGCAACTACCCATACACATGAAATAAACATAAACGAACCTTAAAAACAGTAACCACAAAAGTTTACAGAGATGCTTGCAATTGTGTTTGGCATGCAACAGTTATTCTGCATGTATTACTAACCTTTTTAATTTTCTAAGTACACATTGGCTCTTTTGAATCCTTTTCTCCCAGAGACAAGGTCTCATTATGTAACTCTGGCTGTCCAAACTCATTATGTAGACCAGGGTGGCCTTGAACTCACAGAGATCCACCTGCTTCTGTCTCCTAAGTACTGGGCAAGCACCACTCTGCCAGGCTCAGAATGGAAGTTATCTATAAAGTTAACGTACAGAACAGAGGTAGCAGCAAGCATTGGGGACAATCAGTGAAGAGCCACAGCTTTCTATGTTTGCTCAGTTTTTAGTCTTTTCTCTGAAGGTCTTGCAGAGGTCTTGGTAATTTTGGAGGTGGCTACTTTATAGTCATTATCGGCTGGTGAAAAGTTCATAAGTCATCTTTGCTCGCCCTACCTAGCAACTGTGTACCCATGGCAACGACCTGATTTTCCAGCATTACTATCTAAGGCAAACAGCAGCCCACACCAGAATGAGAGTTTCTTTTTAATATTCCTTCTCTTCCAATTGTCAGGAGTCTATTTATACACGTACATTCAAGTACATTTTCATCCTTCTTCCCCACCCGCCCCACCTCCAGACAGGGTTTCACTGTGTAGTTGTCTGGCTGTTATTGAACTCACTATTTAGACCAGGCTGCCCTTAAACTCAAAGATCTGCCTGCCTGAAGAGTGCTGGAATTAAAGGTGAGTACTACCACTGCCTGACAAATGTTCATTCTTACCTGGCATGGTAGCTCATGTCTGTGATCCCAGCACTCAGGAGACTGAGGCTGGAGGATCACTGTGGGTTTGAGGTCAGTCTGAACTCCTAAGTGAGATCTTATCTCAGAAAGCCCAAATAACAGTTAACAAACCAAACCAAACCAAACCAAACCAAAGACTGGCTTAGGGAGATGGCTCAGTGGGTGATGTACCTGGACGACCTGAGTCTGGATCCTTGGCACCACGGTAAAAGGCCAGGTGTGAGAGCACACACCCAGGACCCTGGTGCTGGGGGGTGGGACGGAGGCTTCCCAGGGTGGCTGATTGTAGAGAGTGTTGACTTTAGTGGGAAACTGTCTCAAAAACTACTAATAAAATAAAAACATCGCTGGGGAGCAGTAGAAGGAGACCCCAGTGCTTCTTCCTGACTCATGAGGAAATATCCACACATACCTGTACACATGTATGTACCACACACACACATGAATTTGCATGCACGTATTTTAAAAGACAAAGTTTCCATCCTGTCTGTGATTTGATGTGCCCTGGTTTGTTATCATATTTCCATTTTTGAATTAAAGTATAAATATTTTAGGTTAAGACCAAATATGTACAACCACTAGAGTCGAACACCAACCCAAGACTACAGGCACTCCCTCACAGGACACCGTGCATGGTGTTACTACTGACCCAAGACTACAGGCACCCACCCCCTCACAGACCACTGTGCATGGTGTTACTATTGTCAGAAGAAATGATTCTCTTCCTTGTATGCCCCTCTGGGGGCACAGTTTAGCTTGCTTCTTTGACTGGACTCTATTTCTTTCTCTCTCTCTCTTTTTTTTTTAAAGACTTATTCATTTTATGTATATGAGTGCACTGTAGCTGTCTTCAGACACACCAGAAGAGGACATCAAATCCCATTACAGATGGTTGTGAGCCACCATGTGGTTGCTGGGAATTGAACTCAGGACCTCTGGAAGAGCAGTCGGTGCTCTTAACCACTGAGTCATCTCTCTGACCCTGGACTCTGTTTCTTGATGAAAAGTTATCTCGCACAGTTGTGAGGTCATCTAGTCCCTCTGGCTTCCTATCTCATGCAATTTTGAATGGGTTCCCTATATCTGGTGTACTTAGGGTTTTCTCTTCCATCTGTCTGTCTGTCATCCTGACTCTTCTCCTTGCTGCCATGCCAGTTAGCAATACTCAGTCACACATAAAATATTCGGTGACAGAGTTTATCATCTGCTTTGCACTAAGTGTATCTTCTAATAACTTCTATTATGGTGGCCGAGAGGAAAGTGCTGAGTCTTGGAATATACTTCAGTTCTGGTCTTGCACTTGGGACAGTGTTGCTGGGCAGAGAATTCTATGTTCAATGTCATTCCTCCAGGACTGGTAAGACAGCTCAGCAGTCAAGAGCACTTTCTGTCCTTAGAGGACCTGGGTTTTGTTCCCAGCACCTACATGGCAGCTCAGAGCTGTCTGTAAGTCAGGAGATCCAGAGCTCTCTTCTGACCTCCATGAGCACTGATACACGGTGTATATACATACATATACACACACACACACACACACACATACATACACACATAATACACACATAATACACACATACATACATACACATAGATACATACATACATACACACACATACATACAGGCAAAACACACACACACACAGAGACATACATATATATATCTATATCTCTATATATATATATATATCGAAAATAAGTAAATCTACATAAAGAGGTCACCCCAAGTCTGAGGGCATTCATTTCTCCACTGTCTCTAGGGAACCTGTGTCACCTGAAAGTCTCTCTAGGTGAGTCTGAGGGACTTCCCACTTCTTTGACCCTGATTGCATCCCCAAAGTGGCTTTACTTTCTCTTGTTTTTTTTTTTTTTAGAATGCAAGATTCTTTTTTTCCTTCATTCCTTCCTCCCCTTCCTCTCCCTCTCCCCTCTTCTTTTTGTTTTTTTTTTGACAGGGTTTTTCTGTGTAGCCCTGGCTATCCTGGAACTGATTCTTATTGTAGAGTAGGCTGGCCTCGAACTCAAAGATCTGCGGAATGCTGGGATTAAACGTATGTCCCACCACTGCTCACCTGCCAAAGTTCTTTCTTTATTGATTAATTTTCTCCCTCAACCATTCAGAAATAATAATTCTAATTTCTATTTTTTCATCCTGAGCCCATTTTTTTTAATTTCTGGAAAGTTTTGTTACATAGCTAGCAACTCTACTTCCTCTTTTCCACTTTATTGAAAACAGACCCTTTCTCCCCCCCCACCCCCCACCCCCCCCCCCGTCCCAAATTATAACCTGAATACAGCTGCCCCCCTTCACCCTCTACAGTCTTACCACATCCTCCCTTCCATCCTGGTCTACCCCTCCCCTACCTCCTACTAGAGAACAAACAGGCTCTAAAGGATAATAATACAATTAAATAAGATAAAACAAAAACCAATACATTGGAATAGGACAAAACAAACCGAGGGAGAAGAGCACAGGAGAAGGCACAGGAAACAGAGACCCAGGGCTCATTCACTAAGGAATCCCACAGAATCACTAAACTGGAAGCTTTTATATATATATATCCATCCTACAGAACAAAAAGAAAGAGAAAATAAAATAAAAAACAATTAAAAGCCCAGAAGATTTAAAAAAAAAAAAAAGATATGGTGGGCTGGAGAGGTGGCTCAGTGGTTAAGAGCACTGACTGCTCGCTCTTCCAGAGGTCCTGAGTTCAATTCCCAGCAACCACATGGTGGCTCACAGACATCTGTAATGGGATCTGATGCCCTCTTCTGGTGTGTCTGAAGACAGTGACAGTGTACTCACATACAGAGAATAAATAATTCTTAAAAAAAAAAAAAAGATACCATTATGAGACAAGGACCCTGCAAAGATGCTGTTGAGTTTGTTTTCTGTTGGTTGCTGTCTACTCGTGGGCACACAGCCTGCCCTTAAGAGAAGTTTGTTTTTCCAGTTGGACTCCCTTGGAGAAAACAAAGTTTCCATTTGCAAGTGGTTATCAATAGGAGACAGCTTCTGGATTAGGCCAGGGACATGTGTCCATCTCTCCTTCCATCTCTAGGACTCTGTCGCCTGTGCAGGCCGGGCCCCCTGCACACTGCCTCAGTCTCCATGAGTTATATGTGCACTGACCTTGTTGATTTAGAGCATTGGGTCGTGACCCCTTTGGAGGTCAAATGACCCTTTCACAGGGGTCACCTAAGGCCATCAGAAAACACAAATCTCTACATTATGATTCAGAACAGTAGCAACGCAGCAGTTATCAAGTAGCTATGGCAATACCATGGCCGAGCGTCACCACAATGTGAGGGACTGTATAAAGGGTCGCAGGTCGGGAAGGCTGAGAACCACTGGAATAGAGGGCCTTGGTTTCTTGGTGTCCTCTAACCCCTAGCAACTCTGTTTTTTTCGAGATAGGGCTTCTCTGTATATAGCCCTGGCTGGCCTCGAACTCAGAAATCCTCCTGCCTCTGCCTCCCAAGTGCTGGGATTAAAGGCGTGCGCCACCACTGCCCGAACTCTGTTTTTATTCAAACCTTCTCTTTTGACTGTCTCTTCATGAATCCTACCTGCATTTCTGCTGGGAGGAGAGTTGGAAGGCAAACTCCTCTATCTAACTCCTAGGTCCTCTCTGACTTCCAGGATGCGTCGCTCAGCCCAGTATATGTCATGGCACTTAACTGAGTGGGTCGGAGTCCTTGGCTGGTGTACATAAGAGGAGGTGACTACCCTAAGCAGGGGACACATGGGACTGAGCAGGCTGAACAGCCTTGCCATTGGGCACTGGCTTCTCCTGTGAGCTCAGTGTGGCCTTAGATATCTGTACCCCAGTGTTAAGCACACAGTTCTCAGGGTACTCAGACATCTGCAGGGAAGGCTGGCTCTAAGGACCGTGTCTAGCTCCTTCTGTCTACTGGAATACTGCTTTCTTTACTTAAAAGTCTTGAGTCTCTGATCAGACCTTCTTCTGCCTCACTCTTGCCCATGGGATAGTTTTGCTGGGTATAGAATTATATGTTCAAAGTCAAGTACTTTGTGACACAGGGTCTCATTGTATCCCAGCCTGGTCTTGATCTTTAACTCTGATTCCCACTGCTTTTAGCTCTCATGTGCTGGGACTTCAGGTGTGAATCACCATCATATCTGATTTATGTGGCACTGGGGATAGGACCCATGGCTTCATGAATGCTAAGTAATTTCCCTACTAATTCAGCTATGTTCCCCAGCCCTTCCTAACTCAGTTTAAAAATGTCAACACGTTTCCATTGGCTTGCCGTCTTCTATGAGCTTTTTGAAATTCTTGTATCTTGTGAATGTCTCAACACTCTACCTATTTGTATGTGAACAGGTGTACAGAGAATAACAGGTTGTTTTTATCCAGTTAACATTAGTTTTGTGGAGTCCTACAAAGAGGGGAAAAGAAGTCTTCCAGGCCAAAATGTGTATGGTTTGCAACCACATCCAACTGACTTTTGTTATGTTCCTGGACGAAGTCAGGAGAGCAGAGTAAGCCAAAACCCTAAAGGCATCTAATTGGCTGGTCACATTTATTTGAGATGCACACTTTGTCTCGTGGCCACTGTGATGGGTACCTGTACCTACCCGTATTCTATGTGTTTATCACAGAGATTACAGATGTCACACCGTTCTACTAAAAACTGTCATTCTGGCAAAGAAGACCCAAACAAACCATATTGGGCCAGACTACAAATTACTTTATTTCTACCAGCAACTTATGGCAGTTACTTGTGTCTTCAGGAAGTGTAGGTGAATAAATAGGAAACGTAAATCAGGGGGCATCTGGGTGAGGGACTTACCTGTGTGTGAGCGCAGGTGCACTGTAAGCTGGCTGGAGTTGCGGCTGGCGTAGGGACAGAGCTGGCACTTGTATGGCCGCTCATCTGAGTGGATGCGCAGGTGCTTCTTGAGGCTGCTGCTGTCCACAGCTGCGTAGTCACACAGGTGGCACTTGTGTGGCTTCACGCTTGTGTGGCAGCGCATGTGCATGGTCAGGTTGTCCTTCCGGCTGAAGCATTTGTCACAGAACTCACACTTGTGCGGCTTGTCACCTTCAAACACAAAAGGAGTCAAGGTTACAGGGTTTCTTGGTCAGGGTGGTGTCTTGGTTTCTTTTCCCATTGCTGATAAAATACCACAACACAGCAATTTAAAGGAGAAAGGTTTTTTTTCTTCTCTTTCATTTTTTGAAAGCTCACAGTTGAAGGTTTAAGTTCATGACAATGGGGAAGTAGCTTAAAGTGGCTGGTTGCATACAATCCATAATCAGGAAACAGAGGAATGGATGCCTGCTGCTGCTCAACCCCTTTCTCCATTGAAACAGTCCAGGATCCCACCTAGGGAATGGTGCCTCCCATAGTGGGCATGTCTTCTCACCTTGGTTAGTTCTATCAAGACAATGCTCCAAAGACATGCCAGAGAGGCCTATCTCTTAGTCAATTCCAGAGTCTGTCAAGCTGACCATTATACTAAACATCACTGGGTGATAGTGTGAGCAGATGGGCCTGCCTCCCTCTCTGTCCAACGGCCACACACAGAGGAGAAAACCAAAAGTCAGAGTGGGAAACGAGAGAGCTGTGTGTTGATGGCTTTACCTTTAAGGAATCCCGAGAGGCAGATCAAGCACAAATGAGAGGCTAAATCCCATTTGGGACAAAAAAAAAAAAAAATAGTCGCAGAAGGACTCAAGGTAAGAAGTGACAGGGGTAGGGGACAGGCTTTGGCCCCTGGATGAGGAAGTACTTAGAGAGTGACCTTTTGCTCACTCCCAATCTCTACCTTGGGCTCAAGTAGCCTATGCTGTCCTTGAACTTGGGGCTGACCTTTCTGCTTGTTCCTCCCTCTCTCCCTCCCTCACTCCCTCCCTCCCTCCATGACAGGGTCTTAGTGTGTATCCTGGCTGTTGTGGAACTCTCTTCGTAGACCAGGCTGGCCTTGAACTCATAGATCTTCATCCACCTGCCTCTGTCTCCCAAGCGCTGGGATACTAAAAGTGTGCATCACCATAATACACAGCCTTTATATCCTGTCTGGATTGGAGTTGCTTACCTTTGAACTTTTATTTTATTATACTGAAGGAGGAGAGAGAGAGAGAGCGAGAGAGCGCTCTTAGGACACAGGAGTGGTGTGGGTCAAGAGGATATTTTTGGAGGTCATTTCTCTCAATCTACTATGGGTTCCACAGACCAAACAGGTTGGCAGGCTTGTTGACCAAGAGTCTACCCACTGAGTCACCTCATTGTCCCTTTTTAGTAATAATTATTATTACAATACTAACGCTACTAAAAATCAGGCATGATGGTGGACTCCTGTGATCCTAGACTGTGGGAGGAAGAGACAAAACCAAGGTCACTCTTCACTACACAGTGAGTTGGAAGCCATCTTGGGATACATGACACCCTGTTTCAAAAATATGAAGCAGAGGGCATGTTATCATAAGCTGTAGCTTTTACTCTCCTGTAGCTAGAGTCCTCTTGGAGGCTTACTGCCTCTGCTAACCTAGGCCTAGACCTGGAAGCGTCTGGCCTCCTTACGATCTAATCTAGGCCCAGAATGTTTTCAGCTTCTGAGACTTGCTGAATAAGCTTACCTTTTCGAGTTCTTCCTGAACTCTGGCTGGCTGGTTCTACTCAGCTGTTCTGCCTCAGACTCCTCTCTAAGCTGACTGATTCAGTCCGGCTTCTCTCTCTTGGCCTCTCCTGAATTGCTCTGCTTGACCTCATACTAACTTTGGCAATTGGTTCTAATCTTCTGGCTCCTTCTCATTCTCTGGCTCTTTCTGTCTTCACCTGTGTCTAGCTTGTTCTCTCTTCAACCTGTCTCCGTACAACTGTCCTGGCAAAACTTGTCCCCTTCTTCTTTGTCTGTGCTGCTCTATGCTCTCTTCTCCTGAGGGCTGGGCAAATCCCACTCTTTCAAATCCTTCTCTGATCCGCTACTTTGTCTGCCAACTCAGTTGGACATCACTTTCAAACATGGGCGCTTCCTTCTACAAACTAACTTTACCTTCATTGTTTGGACTCAAATGTGTGTGCTGAGGGCTGAGCCACACTGCAAAGAGAAACAGGTATTTTCAGCAAATAACAAAATCTTGGCGTTCATAGTGTGAGCAAATATCCTGCAGCATGTTAACTAAGGAATTCAGGCGATGATGCTGTGCCCATGAAGGCTTGCCTGCGACAATATGCACCTTTCATTTGGGATGTCCAGAGCAGGAGAGGTTTTGGGAAGTAGGGACTAGGAATATACGGGAGTTGCTCTCAGTCCAATTTATGTGCACACTTAAAACTGCTCTAAGAAACAATATGGATTAGAAAAAGAAACGGAAAGAGAATCAACCACCATGGTCATGGCTGGTCCTGAAGCTCGGTGGTATAGCACTCGCCTAGCATGCACGAGACTCTGGCGATGTAAAATGGCCAGGAGTCCCTGTTTCCAACCATACCCGTGGCCGGAACGTCATCACACCTGTGTGTGTCAGCCCCAAGCAACAAGACACATTGCAAGAGACTGCATGTGGGCGTGGTTTTGGAACCCGCTGACCGGTCCTCTCCAGCAGAGGGCGCTCCAAGGCTACGTTTCCCATCAGGTTTTGCCTTGTTAGTTACTGCCTCGTAAGATGTTGTATTAAGTTGATGGCTCTGTGGTTATTGTAAGATGAATATTTAATGTTTCAGCTTTAATTTCTAATGTAGAAACGACAAGAGGACATAAGCTTGTTGGAGGCTGTGGTGGTCTGCATGAGAACACGGGGTCACTGGTTGGCAGAGGTGTTTGTGGGGGAGTCTCACAACTACTTGGCATTCTAGAGTTAGGGCACTATTGGCTGGGTACCCCAAGGGAGGGATTCTGCAAGCTCCCCGGGACTTCCTAGCTTCTTTTCATTTTTAAAAATGACATTCACTTATTCTCACTGCCCCCTCTCATGTGTGTGTGTATGTATGTGTGTGTATATATGTGTGTAAGTATATTTGTGTGTGTATGTGTATGCCTGTGTATGTATGTATATGTTGTGTGTACATGTGTGTGCATGTGTGTGTATATGTGTGTATGTATATTTGTGTATGTGTGTGTATGTGTATGCATGTGTATGTATATGTATGTGTGTGTATGTTATGTGTGCATGTGTGTGTGTCATGGGATTTCCTAGCTTCTTTTCATTTTAAAAATGGCATTCACTTATTCTCACTGCCCCCTCTCGTGTGTGTGTGTGCATGTGTGTGTGTATGTATGTGTGTGTATATATGTGTGTAAGTATATTTGTGTGTGTATGTGTATGCATGTGTATGTGTATGCATGTGTATGTGTATGCATGTATATGTTGTGTGTACATGTGTGTGCATGTGTGTGTGTATGTGTATGCATGTGTATGTATATGTATGTGTGTGTGTGTATGTTATGTGTGCATATGTGTGCATGTGTGTATGTGTGTGTGTCATGGTATACATGTGGAGGTTAAAGGACAATCTGTGGGAGTCAGCTTTCTCCTACCACCAGGTGGTCAGCTTGGTGGCAACTGCCTTTACTTGCTAAGCTCCCTCTTCATTTTTGTATTTCAAGTCAGGGTTTCTCTGGGTAGCCCTGGCTGTCCTAGAACTTGCTCTATAGACCAGGCTGGCCTTGAACTTATAGAGATCCACCCTGCCTCTGTCTCCCAAGGGCTGGGATGAAGATTATGTGCCACCACCACCAAACCGAAGCCTTGAATTCTTGATTCTCTTACTTTGGTCTCTGAGTGCTGGGCTACAGGAGTCCACCACCATGCCCTGTCCCCTCCTAACCTTCTGTCAGTTAAGAGAAACCACGAACCAAACCAGATGCTACGAACTCAAGGAAGCAGCCCTGTCCCTTTACCTCGAGGATCAGACCTTCTCCAGCTTCCTGTATTCCCAGGACACTTGTATCAAGCACTTAAACATTGTCAGTGCCCACTTCTCTAGGTCACCCTTGGTATAATGAACACCCAGGGCCAATCGATTTTGGATGTAGTTTTCCTCTGCTCACTAGATGGCAGCAGCACAACCCCAGCTCAGGACGAGTGCTCTAGCTATCCAGGCTGTATTTACTGGCCTTGAGTTGGTGGTGTCTCCTCGTCCCAACCCCTGCATGTTTCCAGGGATTCCTGGCTGCCTCATCGGCTGATGTGAGGTAAGATCTCCCTCATTAAGAGGAGAAGGCTGCCTTTCCTTCATCCTTTGGCCTTCTACAGCTTCCTGCCCATCCATCCATTGGCAATACAAACTAGCAGAGGTTCAGAAGGTTCTGTGATCTCCATGCCCTAGCTCCGGACGCAAGTTGGCCAGTGGCTATGATCTCTGGAGCCATGCCTTGCCTCTCTAGATGTGAGGGCAACATCATTAAGTCTCCGCTCATTTCACTAGATCAGAAGGGGCTAGCTCCTGGGCTACGGGCAGAGGGAGGGGTGTGGTAGGTATCTCCAGCCTCAATCTGAGCCTCTAAAACTGTACAGGAAACAATCAGGATGTGTTTAATGTAGGAGGCACAGCTTACAGAAAGCATTAGAAACAGCACAACTGGGGCTAGAGAGGTAGCTCAGAGGTTAAGAGCACTGACTGCTCTTCCAGAGGTCCTGAGTTTGATTCCCAGAAACCACAGGGTGGCTCACAACCATTTGGAATGGGATCTGATGCCCTCTTTTGGGCTGGAGGTGTACATGCAGAACTGTTAACCATGCTGGCTTTTTTTTCTTCAAAGGAAGACATGTTCACCCTGACGGCTGGAGAAGATGTTCTCTAACAACCTGGTGACCTTTCTCTATTCTGTGGAGCCAGCCTTAGGCCCAAGTCCTGACCTTTGTCTGTGAATAGAACCCTTTCCATAAGAAAGAGGCTCCGAGGACTTTGCATCCTCCACAGATAGAATCCAATCCATCCTTATGTTTATTACACAGCCTTCTTACCTAGGCCCAATTTCTGAGCCTTGTTCATCAGTCAGTAGAACTCATTCTTTTTTTTTTTTTTTTTTTTTTTTTTTTTTTTTTTTTGGTTTGTTTTGACAGGGTTTCTCTGTGTAGCTCTGGCTGTCCTGGAACTCACTCTGTAGACCAGGCTGGTCTCGAACTCAGAAATCCGCCTGCCTCTGCCTCCCAAGTGCTGGGATTAAAGGCGTGTACCACCACTGCCTGGCAGGTTTATTTATTTTTTGTATGTGAGTACACATAGCTGTCTTCACGTAGCTGTCTTCAGAAACACCAGATCCCATTACAGATGGTTGTGAGCCACTGTGTGGTTGCTGGGAATTGAACTCAGGACCTCTGGAAGAGCAGTCGGTGCTCTTAACCACTGAGCTATCTCTTTGGCCCCCTTGACTGTGTTTAAATGGGCAAGAAAAATAACTGCTTGGTTAGGCTCTGGAAGCTTGGTTCCATTAGCAGCAAAATGAACCGATGCTCTGGCCCAGACAGGCTCTCAGAGGGTTTGTTCTTTAAAGAGACAGGCAGGGGCTATTTGGGGATTTGGGGTACACTCTTTGCCCTCAGCTCTACCACTGTAGAGCCACACCAGCCACAGAGGATAGTTGGGCAAAGGGCATGGCAGCGGCTGGGGGGGGCGGTGTGGGGCTGAAGTTAACCGAGTCTGTTTCAGAGACGGGTGTGTCCATCCCAGGGCCTTATCATACAGCATGAGACAGCTATGAACTTGGACCAACAAAACATGTGGAGAGCCCCTCCTCCCCCTATGCCCTGGTATCTGAGCATGTGATTCTGGATCGTGAACTTTATAGAGAATACTCTGCCACTATGCCAAAATGTTGGGCACGCCAGTAAGTCAGACCCAGGCCTCCGTCTGTGTTAGCAGCTCTCTGTGATCCTCTGTAACTGGCTGACTAGAAGCATCTTGAAGCAATGGCTTGGCTGCATCCAGAACTTTGTCAGGAGCACCCTCACATCCCCTTTCCTTCCTCCTCCGAGCCTACCCACTAAACTAGAAGCCACTGGGCAGAAGACTCTCTCTCTCTTCTCTTTCTCTCTTTCACCCCTTCTCTCTCCTCTCTCTCTCTCTCACCCTCTCTCTCTCTCCTCTCTCATCCCTTCTCTCTCTCTCTCCTCTCTCTCTCTCTCTCTCTCTCTCTCTCTCTCTCATCCTCTCTCTCTCTCTTTCAGTGAATGGACACATACCTGTGTGGATTCTTAGATGACGGTCCAAATCTTTCATGCCATGAACCGTTTTAAAATGACAACCTAGAAGAGAAGAAAAGCTCGCTCTTAAATGCCCAGCCCAAGAATCACCATGGTTACCTATAATGGAAGCCCACCCATGCCTTCATTTCCTGCTTTCGGTATAGCTGTCAACAAATGACAGCACCTGCCAACACTTTATCACAAAACAGGCATTGTGTTAGGTGGCTCTGCCAGCTGTATTCTAGAGCTGGTGTCCTTCCCGTGGCTTGGGCGGAGGGCTTGGACGTTTGGTGGGCGGAGGGTATCAGGTGCCTCTTTCATTTCTTTTCTGTCTGGCAGAGCTGGGGATGCAACTCAGCCTTCAGCATCCTCAGCAAGCACTGTGACTCTGGGATACACCCTTGGCCCTCACGTTTGCCTTTTTTCTTTTTTTTTATAGCATCTGGCAAGACTGGAACTCACTACCTCACTAGGCTGTTGTCAAACTTGCAGTAATCCTCCTGCCTCTGCCTCCTGAGTGCAGAGATTCTAGATGTGTACTACCCCCACTTCTGCATTTTTGACCTAGTGATGTTCAAGTTAAAAGCAGCTGCAAACTCAATGATAGTCTCCCGAGGAACTCCACCAGTGTGGGACTCACAGAACCCATCCCCCAAGAAGATGTGCATAAGTCGTGTGAGCTACCTCGACCTCGGAGGGTTAGACAGGTGCAGGTGCAGAGACTCCCTGCACCAGTACTAGGCAGGGATAGGCCCCTTCCACCATGTCTGACCCTGTACCTGGATAGCAGCAGTTAAAAGTCCTTTCTCCAAGGGTGGCCGTTCGCTCCTTTGCTTCTGAGGGCAGAGCGACTGCAGGGGCCAGCTGGGCATCGCTGTCTTCAGCAGGGAGGTCTGCTGGTTTCTGGACATCATTGTCGAGCGCAGAGGCTGAAATGGAGACAGGAAGTTTGGCTTGATTGCTGAGTGGCAGCTGTCACGGTGAATCTGAGAGGAGGGTAGCTTTGAGCTGCTTTCATCTTTAGCTAGTTTCCCAAAAAATACTTTAAAATATGAAAACTGAGGGGTGGAGAGAGAGTTCCAGATGACCTTTCGGACGACTGGAGCTGGGCTCCTGGCACCCAGGTCTGGCTGCTTACAGCTGCCTGTCCTGCATGAAGGAATCTGATGAGCCTTCTGGCCCTGCAGACACCTGCACCCCCATGCACATACACAGACACACAACCACACATACACAAATAAATATAAAATGAATCCTTAAAGCCAGAGCTGGGGCTGGGGCTCAGTTGGGAGAGTGCTTGCCTAGCATCCAGGAAGCCCTGAGCCAATCCCTCTGTGCACACACCAAGCCTGGTGGTGTAGATATGTGATCCCAGCACTTGGGAAGTAGAAGCTAGATTAGAAGTTCAAGACCATCCTTGGCTACATAGTGAACCCAAGGCCAGCCTTGGCTACATAAAAACCTGTTGCTCCCTGGGGTGGGGTGGTGCCCACCTTCAATCTCAGCACTCAAGGAGGCAGAGGCTGGTGAATCTCTGAGTTCAAGGCCAGCCTGGTTTATAGAAGGAGTTCCAGGACAGTTAGGGCTACACAGAGAAACCCTGTCTCAAAACAAAACACCAAACAAACAAACAAAAAAAAACCCAAATAAAACAAAACTAAAAAATCTGTTTCCAAGAAGAGCAAACAAACAAACAAACAAAAGAACTCAATGTGACAATACCTCTAGAGAAATAACCAGTCAGCAGGGCTGTTCTGAAACATCAAGCTAGCCTCAAACAGCCTAGATTAACTCTAGTCTTGAAATTGTAGTGATCCTCCTGCCTCTGAGTCCCAAGTACTCTGATTCCAGCCATGTTCCACCAGTTCTCGAAGACGTAGCCTTTCTTTCCCTTTTATTTTGTAAAAGATGTTTGCTTTTATTTTATGTGTATGAGTACACACATGTGGTGTGTGTACCGAGTGCATGCAGGGCTGACAGGCCAGAAGAGGAGTGCAGATCTCCTGGAACTGGACTCACAAACAGTTGTGAGCCTCCATGTGGGTATTAAGAACTGAACCTGGATCCCCTGCAAAAAGAGCAAGTGCTCCTAACCACTGAGCCATCTTTCTAGCTGCTAAGGATGCAGGATTTGTTTGTTTTGTTTTGAAATAGGGTCTCACTGTGTAGCCCTGGCTGTCCTGGAACTCACTATTTAGACAAGACTGAGCTCAAACTCACAGAGATCTGCCTGCCTCTGCCTCCCCTAAAAGTGTAGTGTAAAGAAACTTCCCAGCTGGGCAGTAGCAGGACACGTATTTAATCCCAGCACTCAGAAGCAAAGGCAAATGGATTTCTGAGTTTAAGACTAGCCTATGTTAGGAGCCAAGTCCTAGCCGAAAGCGGCTGTCATCTTTGCAGCCATCTCGAGCCATATACCCTGACAAGAGACTTGTTTTCAACAGTCCACAACAGCTGACCACACTCTGATAAACATCATGTTTTTCTCACATATCTTGTTTTGCTGTTTAATGCCCCCAGCTGCAGGGCGCACATGGTCTCCACACTGCAAGGCACAGGACATAGTGTCTTCAGCTGTGCGTGTCCGCGAGGGCAAGGCAGGTGGTAAAGGGTATAAATACCCAGGATTTCCTTTCAATAAGAGAGACTTGATCAGACTCTGTCTTGTCTCCATTTTTCAACTCTCTCACCCCTCCATCCCCACGCTCTCTCTTGCTAGACCCTGACCCGCGGACCGGAGCAACAGAACGGGCCGTTACAAGCCTAGTGTACAGAGTATGTTCCAGGACAGCCAGGGCTACACAAGAAATCCTGTCTCAAAAAGCCTATTCACCACTGGCTATTACTTTTGTAACAAATAATAAACAGGAATTATAAGAAAATGGGGGGGGAAGCCTTGTTGGGAACAAGCAAAAGAAATTTATCCTAAATTGTTACAGGATATTTGAGCCTGTTTCTATCTGTGGTGGGGCTCAGCCCTTAGCACACACCTTTAATCCCTCTGGCAGGAATACGGACATGTCCTTAGTACACACCTTTAATCCCAAACAATGAAGGTAAAGTTAGTTTATGGGAGGAAACAGTCATGTTTGAAAGTGACGTCTAGTTGAATGATAGACAAAGTGACGAATCAGAGAAAGATTTGACAGAATAGGATCTGCCCAACTCTCACTAGGAGAGAGAGAGGAAAGGGACGCTAGTTAAGGGAGAGACAGCACAGGAGGAGGAGAGTACAGTACAGGACTACAGTAGAGTCTGCGGACAGCATCGCAGTAGAGTTGACAGGGAGAGTAGAGCAGCACAGAGAGGGAGAAGGAGGCAGGCTTACCGGAGTTTTACAGAGACAGACTGAAGACAGAACAAGCTAGACACAGATAAAGACAGAACAAGCCAAAGAATGAGAAAGAGCCAGAAGATTAAAAAAGACTGCTTTAGTTTAAGGCCAGGCAGAGTAATTCAGAGGCCAAGAGAGAAGCCAGATTGAATAAGTCGGTATGGAAAAGAGTTTGAACCGAAACAGTCGAGTTGAACCAACCAACTCAAGTTCAGAAAGAACTAGGAAGGTGTGAGCGTATTCAGCAGCAAGTCTCAGAGGCTGAAAACATTCAAGGACTAGATTAGATTGTACGGAGGCTGGAAGCTTGCAGGACTGGGCCTAGGTTAGCAGATGGAGGCAGTAAGCCTCAGAGATGAATGACAATTACATCAGGGGATTAAAATTACTCTTACACTGAGCTCTGCCGTTCCCTTCTCCGACTCCATTTAATCACAAGGAGAAACTAAATTCAAGGTCCCAGGCTCTAGGGGAGCTGGGGACTTCCCTAAATCTAAACAACTTCTATTATTAAAAAAAAAAAAAAAAACAAAAAACAAAAACCCAAAACCCAGTTGTCTGAGTGCAGCCATCACAGGGACAATTTCTCTGTCTTGCTGGCAGGGTCAAACTGAGTTCATGTTCCCAGGTCCAGGAACCTGCTCCTATTCTGATTGGTGACAGCTCCCTTACTCAGTTCCTTATGTTAAAATGTGATTGGACAACGCTAAACCCACCCAGCTCATTATGGTTTCATCCTTTAAATACATTGTACAAAGGTCCCTTCAAGGTCATAGTTCAGCTTGAAAGTCTGTTCTGTATCCCTGATTGATTAGTACCGGCTTGTTTACAATAAATTTTTGTCAGCTGTGCTGACCTGGTATTTGAGTTATGTTGGACTCAAGCAAGCCCTAGGACAGCCCAAGAATTCTTAGTAGGTACAACAGAACACTGAAGGCACCAATCTGCTTTGTTATTATTTACTGTTGTTATTATTATTATTTTACAATTATTTTGAGTGTGTGCATATGTGGGGCTCATGGATAAGTCAGAAGATAACCTGTGGGAGTCGGTTCTCTCCTTCCACCATGTGGGTTCTGGGGGTTGAACTAGGACCATCCGGCTTGGCAGCATGTGCCCTCATGCCCAGAGCCGTCTCTTCCGCACACACAGCCAGTCTGGATGTTTAGGCTTGCTTTACTGTGGCACTGCTTTGCTTCAGCTCAGCCATGGGTCACAGGCCACCCTTGAGACATTGCGCTCTCCAGGATAAAACATTTCAACAAATTGCTCAAAAGATGGGAGATGGAAAGAGAAACCAGAGACCACCACAAGCTGAGACCTGACACATGGGAGCCTTATTTGGCTCCTGAATAAAAAATGCCACAAAAGCCACCTGAGATGGTGAGACATCCTGTTTTGGGTTTTAGATTAGGGATGAATATTGACATGATTCCGAGCTGAATGGGACCACGTTCAAACACAATTAGAGCAGGGAGAGAAGAGTGTGTGGAGGAGAAACACGGTTGGCCCTGAGCAGAACCTGAGGAGTGGGGCTGTATGTAACTGGGTATTAATCTCTCAATACAGAACAGTGTGGAGAATCCACATGGCGTTGTGTGCATGCACATATGAGTTCATGTATGTGAAGGTGCCCACACAATGCACAGGCATGTTCATGTACGTGAAAGTGCCCACACAGTGCACATGTGTTTGTGTGTGAAGGTATACACACAGTGCATATGTATGTTCACACATGTGAAGGTGTGTACACAGTGTATATTATGTTCACCCTTGTGAAGGTGTGCAATGTACCTGTGTGTTCATGTGTGTGAAGGTGTGTACACAGTGCACATGTGTGTTCACATGTGTGAAGGAGTATATACACTGCACATGTATATCCATGTATGTGAGGGTGTGTACACAATGCACATGTGTGTTCATGTGTGTGAAGGTGTGCACACATGTGGAAGCCAGAGGTTGATGACTGTGCCTTCTGTAGTCATTCTCCATCTCACTTGAGTCAGGATCTCTAATGGAACTGGAGCTCACCAGAATAGTTAGACAGGCTGGCCAGGGAGCCCCGGGATCCTCTTGTCTCTGCCTCCCCCAGTGCTGTCTGCAGGGAGGATAGCAGCTCTGCTTACCACACTAGACTTGGAAGTCTAGCCTGGGTTATTCTGCTTCTGCTCCAAGCAGGGAGGGCCCTCTAACTTATCAAGCTTCTGCTAGGCCCGTGATACCTGGACTTCATGGTGGTTGGCTTATGGTATCCTTTGTTGGGAACAAGCAAAAACTTATTCTAACTACTACCATTTCATCTTCTGACTCCATTCATCATAGGGAGAAAGTAAATTCTAGGTCCCAGGACCTAGGAGAGCTGGAGACTTCCCAATAGCTGAAATAGCTTCTCTTGTAAAGAAACAGTCGTCTGAATCCAGATATCTCAGGGACAACTTGTAAGGAGACAGTCGTCTGAGTCCAGACATCTCGAGGACAACTTCTCCATCTTACTGCCAGGGTCAAACTAAGTTCATGTTCCCAGGCCCAGAAATCAGCTCCTAGCCAGATTGATGGCAACTCCCTTGCTCAACCCCTTATGTCAAAATATGATTG